GATGGATATGGTCAGGAAGCAGAATGCAGGATCTGCAAGATGATATGAATATTTCAATGATTATGCACCTCTATCTCCAAAATAAAATAATAAGAGATAAATTTGATGAAATAAAAGAAATCCTAAATAAAATCAATAGACTAGAAGATTTGGTCAAGGAAATGGTACAGAATCAAGTGCAACATGAAATTAAATGAACATGATGAAGAATGAATAAAAGTCAAAGCACTAGAAAGAATAAAGTACATAAAATATATGATGACAATGATCAAAGAATTAAATTTAATAAAAATGAAATAGTCAGAATCAATACAAATAAACTCATATTTGATTCTAACAAGAAAATTAGAATAAAGAAAGACCCAAAAAATGAAATATACCCAAATAACGATATTACTTTAGAATATTGGAAATCGTTATATGAAACACAGGTGATATTAAATAAAGAGAATTGGAAAATAAAACAAATCACCATATTGAATGAAAGATATAGAAACTATGATAATGTCATAATAACATTAAATGAATTAAATTTAAGTATAATGAAAATAAATAATTGGAAAGCACCACGAATAGACACTATATATGGGTATTATTGGAAAAGGATGTCATCATCAAGAGAAACCATTCTCAGTATCTTTAATGAATGGTTGAACTTCCCTGAAAACATCCCATTAGACATGGTAAGTGGAAGAACTTTATTAATCCACAAAGTGATAGGAATGATGTCACTAATTATCGTCATATCAGTTGTACAAATGTAATTATGAAAGTATTTACCTCCATATTAAAAGAAAAGATTCACAGAAGAATTAACATGAATTGTGAATCATTTAAAATTAGTAATAATCAATTGGGATGTAAGTTACAATCTTTAGCTGCTAAAGAAGGAATAATTAATAGTTATATGATGAAGCAGCAGAAAGAAGAGAAATACCCAAAATATGTGGAGTCATATTATGACATTAAGAAATCATATGACACAGTCAACCACGAATGAGTAATTGAATCATTAAAATATTTTAATTATGAGTGTGTCATCATTGACATTATTGAAAGTATGATGACTAGATGGAAGATATTCATCGGTTATAAATTTAATGAATATCTAGGATGTATTAAATTAAATAGATGAATTTTACAAGGTGATTCCTTATCAAATCTACTCTTCATCATTCAGATGAATATAATTTCTCAAATCATCGAAGAGAAATTCCCAAAATCAAATCACACATTATATATGGATGATTTGAGAATAATGACGGAAAGTAGTGAAGAAATGGGAATAATCCACTGTGAAATTAAAGAAATAATAAGTGGAATAGGGATGGAAATGAATGAGAAAAAATCAGGATTGGTATTAAAAAACATTAAAGAAATACCAAATGGAATGTAAAACATCCCCGTAGTTGAATATGAGGACTTGTATAAATACTTAGGAATATGGCAGTCCGATGAAATTGATGACACCTTCAATTGTAAATCCATCAAAGAAAAAATGAATCAGAAGATGGAAGAAATAAACAGTGATGAAAGTAGTAATAGAAGATATATTACTAGAATAAACAATGAAGTAATCAATATCTTCAGATATTCAGCATCAGTTGTAAGTTGGAAAATCACTGACCTAGATAAAATTGATTTGGAGATAAGAAAATACTTAAGAAAGGCAAAATACATTGGTGCCGGAAACTCCAAAGATAGGTTTATGTCATTATAGAAGAAATGGGTGAAGGATTAATAAATATAAATGATGAATATGTTATTGAATTAGTAAGAACAGTGATGTACTACTGTACCAGAGAAAGTGAAATAAGAAATAACATATTAGATAGATGGTACAGTAAGAAGGGAATATGGAATAGAATTAAAAAAACATTAATTCATAAAATAAATGAAACAAAAATAGAAGAAATAATAAATGAAAATATTGAAAAGAAAAAAGAAAAAGAAGTAGTAGTAGAAATAAAGAAATTATTGACAAATACATCAAAAAATGGAAGTGTCATCAAATTAGTGGATATTTTAGAAGATGGTTCGAGTCAAAAGGAGTAGATAAAACTATTACAGTGAAAGCATGGAAGTCCATCAATATTAAAAAGAATGCATTCCTACAATTAACTAAAATGCAAGATGGAGCAATATTTTGTGGGTATAGAAAATCAAAAATAATGAAAAATGAAAGATTGAAATACTGCCCACTATGTAAAGACAAGATAGTTACAGTATAACATATTCTAATATCTTGTATTTATCATAAAAAATCACAAATAGAAAAACATGACAATATTGGCATTATAATATTGATTAATAAGAAAATACACTGGAAATAAACAATATAAAAAACCCCCATATGAAACAGTGTTCAAATATAAAGACATCACTATGATATGGAACAAACAAATAATGCATAAAAGTGAATGATAATATCACAAAATACAAGACATATATGTATTAGATAAAAAGAACAAAACTGGTTTATTATTTGATATGACTATTGTGGCTGATCACAATATTAATGGAGTGTATTTGAAGAAAAGAAATAAGTATAAGGAATTAAAGAATAGGCTAATGAAAATAGAAAAGTTAAAATAAGTCAAAATAAATCCAGTAGTAATTTCAATTAATGGATTAGTAAATAAAGAAAGTATTAAATTAATTAAAGAAATAAAAATTGAAATTGACATCGAGCAAGAAATTAAAAACCTTGTAATTAAAAACATGATTAATGTCATTGAATACTGCTTCAATCACAACCAAACATACTCCGTAGAGCTGCTTGAAGATGAAGACTCATTGATGTGATTAGTCTCCCCTGAGCCAGGAACAATAGAAACTATTTCTATTAATACTTAATTAATTGCTTATTGTTTATTTTTTTGATTTGTTTCATTAGATGATTTAAATAATTTCTTTGTACTGTTATTTCTCGTTGAATTTTTCTTTTATTTTTTCTGCTTCAGAGATTTGATGTTTTATATCTGTTTCTTCTTTCTTTTTGATGAATTGAATATATTCATAGTATATTATAGTACCAATTCCAACGACTATTAACATAATAATGATGCTATCAAAAAGACTTTCCATTTTCTGCTTTTTAGTTATTTTTGACTTTGAATTTATTTTTTAAATCATTTTTGCATTTATTAAAAACATATTCTTGTTAAAAAGTACTTCTTTATAATTTATATTTGTAAAATTAAATGGACCATTATAGTGAGAAAATATCTTTGAATAACTATGGTGTGTTAAAAAAAACTTACTCTTCTTAATGAATAATTTTATGTATTCTTTATTCTTGCATTGTGATTTATCTTATTAACAATTAAACACTTTCTTTTATTACAACTTCTTTTTTATTCTTTGCCAATTTGGAATAGTTCTTTTTATTGAATATATATATTATTTAATCCACTCTTTCAGTACAAAAATAGCCAGTTTTTTTGTAATATTAAAATGCTGAAAACATAACATCATATAAAAAGGAATAGTAGTATAAGAATAAACTCGAATGAATGAAAAATAAAATAAATACAAATAGATTCAATTATAAGACACAATTATTCTTGAATATTCATCAGATAACTGACTTTTGAAAGAATAGTTTAATGAAAATTAATAATTATACAATGAATAGTATACAGAATAATATGAATAATACAATAATACAGTATTAAAAAATATATTAATTCTGGTGAAAATTAATGAATTTGTCTTATTATTTAATGTTCATTTTCTTGTTTGTAAACATAAAACTCATCAAAAACTTATGAATTTATTCTCATTAGTTATGTGTAATTAACTAACTTTTTATGCAGAATTTATATCTCATGAAATCCTTCAATTGAATATTATTACCTCACCCACCTCCTTTCATCAATTGACTTTGTTGTTTTATTATTATTTCAACATTTACACATTCAGTCTTGTTGATTAAATTTGAATTTTGACTCCCATTTAAAGTATATCATTATCTTATACTTTATTTATTATCTTTATCATGTACTATCAACATTTTACTTCTTTCTTTTGTTTTAGTATGATTCTTCTTTTATTTTCTTATTATTCTTCTTTCATCTTTTTATGTATTTATTTCTCTTTATGTTTTAATTCCATTTCTTAGTCTATATTTTATTCATTAATTCAGTTACTTCTCACTTCATCACACATTCAATAAGATATATATATTGGATTTCATAAACTAATATATGAAATTATTAGTGTTGAATCTATATTCATTTATCATTTACTTCACCTTTTAATAAATCTGTCATCTCCACATTTTATAACCAATTGAAATGAGTTTGTTTTTGAATTTCAATTTGCAACCTGCTTATTTCTTTATCAACTTATTTCCCTGTTTAAACACTTATTCTATCATTTTTTAAAAGACTATTTCATCTTCATGACTTAGATTTACTTTGCACTGATAATTAATTAACTTTTCTATTTATTTGTCATTTGTTTTTCATGTTAAACATCAATTACAGTATATTAACTTATAAATAATCAAAGAATAAGAACAAAAGAAAGTAAACTCCATTTCACTTCCTTTATATTAATTAAATCTTTATTGTTTATCTTTATTATATAACATTAACTACTTCATTCTATTATTGTGTCTGTTTCTATTTGAATTATTGTTGAAATTATTGCGAAGACGATGAATATGATTGAAGTGATGAATGAAATGAATCAAATCATCAAAGACGTGATTATTATGGTGATAATTAGTATTGTAATGATTAATGTTATGATTAATATATTTCTTTCCATACAAATAATACATTTTTTAGTCATTTTTACCTCATGTAGACTTGTTGTTGATGAAGTGCTCTTTTATTTGGTATGACTTTTATAATTCTGTGATTATTTTTTAGAAAAAAAGAAATAAAAACTATTTTTTTCAGTTGAAGTTCATGGCTGAGTCAACCTCTTTTTATGAAGAAAAAAAGCGTATATTAAATAGAATCGGCAAAGTTATAAATCAAACAAATGTAATGACAGGACCATTTGTTCCATTACTTTTGTTCAAGAGTGTTATAAATGAATTAATAGAATCTATGAAACTAATAATAAATTCATGTCAAGCAAACAAAGAAGGAGTAGAGCAGCTTTTTACTAAGTTAGGTGTACAACCTAAAACTGTCATAAACGACATTTCAGAAGAAGTTTGTGATGGAACAAAACAAAATGATATTATACAACAATTTACAAAAACTATTCCAAAACTACAATTTGATATTAAACCTCAATTTTCTAGAGTCATTTATGATTCAGCAGAAGTTATAAAAAAATCAACTTCAGTAGATTTTATTAAACAAACATTTTATCGCCAAATAAATAATATACCACATCTTCTTATTGTTAATATTAGTAAAAGGGGAGATGTTTTTGGTTGTTATGTATCAAAAAGATGTATTAGAAAGGATAACTGGATAGACGACCCAGAACATAGGATATTCAAATATGATCCAAAAACTGATAAAACAGAAGTTTGGCGTCTTAAAAAACAATCAAAAAATGGAACAAAAGCATTTTACTTTAAATCAGAAGGAGAATATTTGTATGTTAATATGGGAATTGTTATCCAAGCAAATCCATTTGGAGCTCCTTATAGTCAAATATACAAATGGATTCCAGAACATTATTCTCTAGATGATGCTTCAAAAATAGTTGGTCATAGTCAATTGTTTACTGTAGTAAGAACTGTTGTCTTCCAAACGTCTTCACAAAAAATAATATAAAATAAAAAAATTTTAATTGATTATTTATTGTTATATTTTATATTAATTATAAAATGGTTTTTTATTATTTCATTCAATACAATTTATTGACATTTAATTAAAGTAATGTTTCATTTTATTACATTTAAAAATCAATAATAATTACAAAAAAAATACAAAATAATTTTATATGAAAAACTAAAACCAATAACTTTCTCTTTCTTTTTTAAATAATTTTTTTCTTTCTTTAATTCTATTAATTACCCTTAAAAATTTCTTCGTATTAAAACAAATAACGTTTTATTTTCCTCCTTTCTTCTTTTGTGTTTTTGGTTTAACTTCTTGCCACTCTCCTTCATCATCTTGTATATCAACTTTTGGTTCTTGTTTAACAACAACAGGTTGTTGTTCAACAGGATGAGAAACTTTTTTAACATTATCCCATTCAATTGGTTCAGATGCATGGAATTGTTTTTTACCACCTCTTCTTTGATTACCTCCTTCTCTTCTACCATGTGTATGTTCTTTTCTTTCTCCATATCTCCTTCCTTCTCTTGGTGGTAATTGTTGTCTTTCTTCTTTTTTTTCAGAGTTATTATGAGTTGGAATTTCTTTGACATCAGTTTTATGTTCAATTGTTTTTGATTCAACTGTTGTTCCTTGAGGAGTTGTTTCTGTTGATTTTACTTCTTCTTTTGTAGATTCTTTTTGTTGTTCATTACCATAATGATGTCTTGGTTTATAATCTCGTTTTTCTCCATTTCTATAATTATTTCTATATCCACCACGTCCTCTATGTCCTTGTTCTTCTCCTTCTCCACGTTCCTTTCTTTCTTGGTTTTCTTTTCTTTCTCTGTATGATCCACCTTCCCTATTTCCTCTACCTCTTCTTCTTTGTTCATTACCTTCTTCTCTTGGCTCTCTTCCATCTCTTCTTGGTTTATTGAATGAATTCTTTTGTGAATCATCTCTTGGTGGAACAGCAGAAATAGTGATGACAATATCTCCTACTGAATTTCCATCAAGTTCTTTTACTCGTTCAAGTGTTTCAGCATTTTCAAAATCAGCATAACACTTTCCAGTTTTACCTACTCTAATTCCTCTAGCTTTTACATCAATTCCTTCTAATAAGTCTTTAATCATCCATTGTTCAAGAGGTTGACTTGGATTCCAAAACATTAATACATAATCAGATTCTCCATATCTTTCTTTATAATATGTCATTTCTTGTGGCTTTTGTGTTTCTTCAACCTTCTCAACTACAGGTTGTTGGACAGCAACATCAGTTTCTGTAGCCATATCAATCCATGATTGGTGTGTATCAGTCATTACTAGGTTTTTTCATTATCTAGTTCTTATATTCAATTTTACTATTATTGTAGTTTCTTTTACTATTAAACATATCAAAAAGATGATTATAACTATTCGATCTCATTCCAGAACTGGTTTTACAAGAACCAAGAGGATGGCTTGTACCATTTCTATCAACAAGATTGAAAACTATGGAACACTTAATTTCTGCTCATTACCTAAAATTAATGAATGTGCTTCAAAAACTGTTCCAGTTAGTAATGCACAACAATCTATTAATTCTTCAGAAAAGGACGCACAAATTAATCAATTACGACAACAGAAAGAACTTCTTAATACAACAATAAAAGAGTTGAAAAATTCAAATGAAGAATTACAACGTATTTTACTTGAGGAAAGAACAAATAAAACTACCATAAAAGATGTCTGTTTTATTAATGAAACCACTAATAAAGAAGAAAACAAAGAAAATAACCTTTCTAATGACATAGAACCAAAAGGATATACACAATGTTCTAATGAACTTATTGCTGCATATCAAGCAATGCAAGAAGGTATTTCAGTTGTTCCAATGGAAATTGAAGATTCTAATGAATTAATAGGTAATTTAAATGAACAAGAATTATCATTATTACGTCAATGGAGTGGAAAGCAAAAATTACATGTATTTTTTAATAATAAAAAAGAAAGATTTACAAGAGAAAATTGTTTATCTATTTTAAAGAATAAAACAGATATTATTATTTTATTAGAAACAGAAAATGGAGAAGTATTTGGAAGTTATCATCATCTTGTTCCACAACAATTTGGAAATTGGGTTAATGATCCAAAACATTTTGTTTTTGCAATAAGAAATAAAAATAAAATACAAGGAAAATATGAAGCAGATTCAAATAATCATTATTCATTAATGATTGCTGATTTTATGGAAGATGATGATGAATTAAAATCAACAATTCTTGAAATTGGATATTTTTATACAATTACACTTGAAGAAATTTGTTCATTAAATATGTCATTTAATTCACATTATTTAAATACTCCTAACATTGGAGTAGATGCATTTATGAAAGAACCTATGGGAATGGGATTAAAATCTATTCTTTTTATAGAATAAGAAATCAATTATAAATAAATTTAATTGAATAATATTTTTGGACAATCTTGTATAATTGGTTTAAGATCAAAAATAAAGTCATAATCATTAATTGATTCTAATTTATGACATGACATTAAAGATAATTTCATTAAAGAATAAGAAAAACAAAGTTCTTTAACTGACATTCCTTTAATATCACATTCTGTTAATTCATTTAATTGATTTAAATTATCAATTGATGTACATTTATTAAACCATCGAAGTTGAAGGTTTTTAATCATTAATGGTAAGTGTAATGATGGAGAATCTATTTGTCTTAATGTTAATGCTGTTAATCCATTTGGTAATTGGTTAAGATGAGAAATTAAATGAATAAAACAATCGATATGAAGTTCCTTTAATTGTGATGGTAATTGGACTTTTCTATCAATACGTTCTTGAGCAGTTAATGTTAATGAAGTTAAAGCTTTAAAAGGTGTTAAATCATAATTAATTCTATTAATTGTTTTATCTTCTTTTAAGTTTAAAGAAAGAAGGTCTTTATAAGATACAAAAGATGGTAATTCACCATTAGCATATAAATACATTGTTGAATAGATTGAATGAACATGTTGACATGAAATAGAGAATGGGAAATATTTTTTAGAAAAAGAGGTAAAATTAACTTTATAACCAGAATATTTCTGACTCATTTGGTCAACAATTAATGGATGAATAATAACATTTGATGGAAGATATTCAATAAGATTTTGATGAATAAATTGATGAATAAAGAAAATGATATTTGGAGTTTTTTGAAGTAATTCAAGAAGTTCAATAGTAAATATTGTTTTTGATGGAATAATAACTTTTTTGCAGTAATGGTCTATTAATGAAAAGATTTGATTAATTTCTTTACATAATGGAAGTGGTACATCATTAATACAAAAATATGTTAATGGGAATTTCTGAAGATATTGAGGTACTTTTCCTTGATTTAATGATGGAAATGTTGTGAATAATAAATCATATGAAATAGTTAATTTTTCTAATGAAATGAATGATTTAAATGATGTTAAACATTTTGTAGGTAAAAATACTTTTAATGAATGAACTTTTGATTTCATTGGTTTTAATGATTTTTGCATTAATTGATCAAATTCAGGATCTATTGGAGGTATTTCTTTTGTATCAGGAAGTAATTCTATTTCATCTTCATCTTCTGAAGTGTTAAATTGGTTAATGAATGAATTGTTATTTCCAATTGATATTGATAAAGTGTCACAAGAATTGAAAGAACAAGAAAATAAATTCATAAAATCACCTTCAAATAATTTTGCATTTTGATTAAATGAACAATTATTTGTATCAAAAGCAAATAATGAATTTGTAATAGTGTTATGATATTTCTTATTAATTAATGATAATAAATGAATACTTTTCAATTCACAATAATAACAAATATCATAAATATGATATTTTTCAAATTGAGTTTTATTCATTAAATTAGTTTTATTTATGAATTATAAATTCACAAGGGTTTTTAACTTTGTTTTATTGATAAATTTAAAGTGTATTTATTCATTAGAAAGAATGTAATTTATATTTTTTTGTTTAAAAGAGATATAACTGTTTTAAAATAAACAATTTATTAATTAGAACGTTGACTACTTATAGTAGTTGAACCTGATGTTAGTTGATAAATTTTTTCTTGAAGAATTTTATTTTGAAGTTGAAGTTCCAAAATTTGTTTGTCTTTCAGAGCAATAATTTTCTTTAATGATCTAATATCATCTTGGTCATCTTTCTCATTTAAACTTTCTTGTCCTATTTCACTTGATGTTTGTGTTTGTATAGTTTGTATTGTAGAAGAAGAAGATGAAGGACTATTAGAAGAACTAAATGGTTTCTTTTTTAAAACACGATCTCCAATAGATTTTGTTTCTCTTTCATCCAATGGTTTTGTTTCTTCTCCAGTTACACTTGCTAATTCAGAGTTTTCACTTACAAAATCTAATGATATTGGTGGTTTTTTTAAAGATAAAATATGTGTTGATACTACTTCTCCTAATTTAGAACGTGGAGATACTTGTTGAGTATAACATGTTGGTCGGTCTGTTTTACATTTAAAAACATCAGTACTATGACATAAATCTAAATTAATACCAAGAGAATTTCTACTAAATGGTAATTTGAATGATTTTCTAAAATTCTTTTTTTCTTGTTTCTTTGAACTAGTTATCTTAGAAGATTTACTATGTAATCCATCAAAAATTATTGGATAAGATGGTGGAGCCATCCCTTCCATCTCATTTAATGTTGTAATTTCATGAAATATTTCATCAAAATTTTCTAATAAATATTGTACTGATTCATGTGCATAATCTAAATGTTCCAAATCACTTATTTTTGATGATGGTGGTTTTCTTGAAATACTAAGAGTAATACATGTTGCTATACTAACAATACTCATTTTATTAATATCTTGTTGTTCTAAAACACGACGAAGAAAGGAGAAAATATACCATAATGTATTTTGATTTTCTAGTGGTAAATTAATCACAAATTGATGACCACGATGATTATTTCTTAATTCAATAAATTCTTCATATAAATTATATGGAATAAGTGGATTTGGTAATAATCTTAAATAATCTTTAATCACTGCTGCAGCTAAAACACAATCACAAAAATCCATTGGATCAATATCTTTTTCTCCATCAACTTGTGTTCTAATTTTCTTCATTTCTACTGTACCACCACTCATCCGAAAAATACCAACATACTCATCTCCTTTATGTTCTTCTAAGTATTGCATTGCTCTGAATATAGGAAGTGGAACTCTCCATTGTGACTTTTTTATAGCATGTTTTAAAGGAATTCCATACATTCCACATACTGTAGCAAGATCAGCTATTTGTTCCATCCAATATACATAGTCTTCACAATTATCAAATTTTAAAATATAAATTTTATTTGATATAATACGAAAACATAATAATGCATCTTCTTCTTCAATATGGTTTTCATTCAAGTCTAATGTTAATATACTTGTCTCTAAATCAATTTCTTTTGTTCCAATGACTAAAACTCTTCGTTTTAATTTATTTGTTATAATACTTATTTTTTTCTCTTCAAACTTTCTTCTTTTATAAACTCCAACATATTGACAATGTGGTAGTTTTCTTTGAGTTGAATTATTAACTACATTAATTGATGGGACATTACACTTCTCAGTCATTTTACACTTTATTTCAAATCAAGTTACTTTCATTTTTCCTTTTCATTTTTCCTGCATTTAAAAAATTGTTTTGTCTTTATTAAGTCACTTCTTCTGTTTTATATAACAGTTTTATTAAGGAATTAAACAGGTAATACATTAATTGTCTCTTAATTTTATTCATATTAATTCTAATTAGTTTGTTGACTATTGTAAAATAAATGAGTTATGTGAGTTTGAATATTTCTCCTCTAAATAAAAAAAATTATCAAAATTTAAGAAAAAGAAGAGATTATTTATCCAAAGAGTCAGATATTATTATGATTATTTTTCTCTTCATCATAACTTAAATTATTCATTTTTATTGTCTCCAAACTTACTTTGTGTAAAATTATTAATAAAACATCAAATTAATATCTATGGAATTTGGAATAATTTAGAATAAATGAAATACTGGATATTTTGAGTTGATTCAGAAGAAGAACATTACACTCTTATTCGGTTATTAATGTTTATAAGTTCTTTCTTCTTAAATATCAAATAGAATAATCTGATAATAACCTTTGAGTAGTTAAAGTTTTAACCAAATGTAATGAGTCTTAAATTTTTTAGTTAATTCTTTAAGTCACTTATTTCATCATGGAACATCTTTCTTTTAAATTATGAAAATAAAGACTTTAAGTTAATTGAATATCTAAAACTGATTAAAAGACATATGCACTTAATTATTAAAAATTCATACAACCAAATATCAGTTTTGTTATTGTCTTTTGAGTCAGTTTAGACTCTATTCATTATAACTTCTCAACTCTTTTTGATAAATATGAAAATAATATAAAAAGTTGTATATCAAAACATGGAACTATTAATAAAGTAGTGATGAAATAAATCATTGATAAGTAAAACAATTTTGTTAAACACTAGTTCTGAAAATTAAAAAAGTATATTTAAGAATATAGTTAAGTTATATAAACAAGTAGATTTAATTGAAGTAAGGAAAATAGATTTTTGTTTATGGAATAAACAATTATTATTATTAATTTGTTTTTTACAAAGATGTTTAAAAATATTTTTGTCTTTTATTTTTTTGTTTATCCATTTAAGATTTTATTATTGAAAACATTGTGGATATTATGAAGTAATTATTTTCATTAATTTTAATCCAACGATGGGTTGATTCTTAGTTATTCTATAAAAATTTATTTTATAAAGTTTTTTTTGAATTAGTTGTTGTCTTTGGTGTAACTTTTTGTGATAATATCTACAACAACTTTTTGAATGACTTCTTATATTGGTATTTATGAATTAATATTCATTTTTATCTTTGAATTTATTTTTATTGAAAATGGATTAGTTAATGTCTATTTTTGAATTGAAATGATGTATTGAGTTTTTCATAAACTTGTTTGATGTTTATTAAATTTGTTTATATACTGTTTTATTATATTTTTATTATTTTATATTATTAAAATTATTTATTTTATATTTGTTTTACTTGTCCTAATAATAAGATTAATATTTTCTAAATGTATGTATTAAATGAAATTATTTATAAAAGTTTCAAGTGTTATGTTTTAAATTGGGTAATAAAATATCTATTATCAAAAAAAAAACAAGAATTACCAAGACATTTTATAAAAAAAAATAAATTCATTGTTATTTTCAAACATTCTTTATTATACTGAATTGAATGAAGTCAAAAAATTAAAACAATGATTGGTTAAGAAAGATATCATAATAATATTTTGATTAAACCATAAAGATGTTCAATTAATGAAAAAGAATTCTTTGAAGAAAGATACAATGAATAAATAAAACTTCTTTTAATATTGTGAAAATCATTTTTTTATCCAAAAGAATATTTAGTCTAAAGAAAAATTATTCAATAATGTATAAATAACATATAAAGAATTAAAACAGTTTTATAATACGTATTTATTTGATTTATTAAAATCATTAATAATCATAATATTCATATAAAAGAAAGACTAAGATTTAATTAAAACACTAAAAATATAGATAACAAAATGACCAAAAGAATGATAATTTTGTTCTTTAATAACATTATTAAACAGACAAATTATTATTATAATGATTTGAAATTCTTTTTATTTAGGTTCAAATAAATAAAATTCATATGAGTTTGTACATACAAAAATATTCTCTAAACAAATAACTCTAAATAAATGAGTATTAGATTTAATACCTTCCAAATATCTGAGTCAGTCTATAAAATTAGTAGAAAAGTAACTTTTCTTGTCTTTCTTTTATAGTACAAACAACTTTTACAAAGAATAAGTAAGTAGTTAATTTAAAAACCAGAATGAAAAAAAAATTATTTAAAAGTCTGTTTTATATCATAACCTCTCAATTTTTTTGTTCTTATTTTTTAAATATTGAATTGTATTGACTCTGCAAAACAAGTTAACTTATTTCATTATTATTTAACTCATTTCAGTGATCATATTGGATGAATGAATAGAATTTTTGTTTTTGTTTTCTTTATCCAATGCTTTCTGTCTTAGATTTTAAATCTATAATTTAATCTAAAGATGAAACCTAATCAATGTAATGCAGCTAACAACGAAAAAATCAATATTATGAGAGTTTTTTGGTTTATTCGTTTCTTTATTTTCTGTAATGCCAAATTTTATTGATTCATACAACTAATTTTGTTTATTGTCATTTATCACATAAAATACCTGTTTTTTTAATTTTTTTATTTTTTCACATAAATTAAAACAATGATTATTGGATTGAGCGAACTTCTTGATTTTGTTTTGAACTACCTCTACTTTAAAAAAAAAGATGCCATAAAATACTTATATCTCTACTCAGTACGCTCTATTAAAAAATGGTATAGATAATGTAGTGTATTTATAAAACATTAGTAAAAGGAGGATAAAATGAATTATTTTTAGAATAACGTTTCGATAACTAAAAAAAGAAGAGTTTAAATAAAAAATACGTGGTAACCATGTTGAAAAAAAGTATCATTTTTAACAAAAATAAAAACAAATTTTGACATGAGAATAAATGAAAAAGAAAAAATCATCTTTTGAGGAAACTTAAAAATGAACCAAAAAGAATGGAGCAATGGAGTCGAATAGAGAAGTATGCCATGGTTAAATGGCTTGAATTTGTTGTACAAAAAGAGATTGGGTCATTTGAAAGAATTAATGGTCTAATTCTTATAAGATTTATTGAAGAAATATCACATTCAAAGTGTAAATTCCCATACCCCAAAATCATTAAAACTCCATTCCAGTCTATGGAAGCTGCAAATGTTTTAATTAACTTTTGTAATCAATTGGGAATTGGGTTTGGAGGTTCTGCAGAAGACATATTTAAAAATGATGAAAAAATGATGTTAGCATTCTTTACTATTATTGCTCAAAAATACCTTAAATTAAAAAGAACTGACATGGAAGAAGTCACAACTTGGATTGAACGAATAACGGAATGGAAATGTTTAAATTATACAAATGACTGGATTGATGGGAGAATGATTAAATTGATATTAGGACCAGAAGATCCATTAGGAAAAATGAAAGAGTTTGGTGTTGTAGAAGTTGTTGAACGAATTGAAGATGTAGGTGTTGATGAACTGACAACAATGATGTTAATTAGAAGATTGTATGAAAAGAAAGAAAAGATTGAATTATATCATGCACAACGCGAAGACTGGGATGAAATTAGACAACAATTTGATGAACAAAGAAAACAAGATGCTTTAAATTATGCCCTTGGCATTACAGACAATAAACCATCACCAATGTATACCATTAACTCTCCCTTTAAAAAAACAATGAGAAAGGAACAAAACATTCCTGAAAAAGAAACTGTTCAAGTCACAAAAGTCATTAACATAGAACACAAACAAGAAGAATTCGCTCTAGAAAACCAAACTACTAATCAGATGAAACGAAATAATAAAATAATAAGTCAACAAGAAGAAAATAAAAATGATAGGGAAGATGACTTTGATAAAGATATGAAATTCGTAAATGAAACTGAAGAAGTTAGACTTCAGAAACTAAAAGAAAAACTAGAAAAAGAAAAGAAAGAAAGAAAGATAAGAGAACAACAACTATTTCAGAAAGAAGAAGAAGAAAGAAAAAAGCAAGAAGAAGAAAGAAAAAAGCAAGAAGAAGAAAGAAAAAAGCAAGAAGAAGAAGAGAAGAGAAAACAAGAAGAAGAGAAGAGAAAACAAGAAGAAGAAAGAAAAAAGCAAGAAGAAGAAGAGAAGAGAAAACAAGAAGAAGAGAAGAGAAAACAAGAAGAAGAAAGAAAAAAGCAAGAAGAAGAAGAAAGAAAAAAACAAGAAGAAGAGAAGAGAAAACAAGAAGAAGAAAGAAAAAAGCAAGAAGAAGAAGAGAAGAGAAAACAAGAAGAAGAAAGAAAAAAGCAAGAAGAAGAAGAAAGAAAAAAACAAGAAGAAGAACTATGGCTAAGGAGACTGAACGAACTTGCAGATGAAAAGAATACAGCAACACCAGAAAAAAGTATTCTAACAAAAGAAAAAATTATTGACAGAGAAAAAATGAAAAAGTCAAAGAAAAACAGTCGAATCGAAACAGAAGATGAACAGAGAAGACTCAAAATATTAGAGCTTAAATTGCATAGGGAAGCTGAAGAAAGAAGAAAACGAGAAAATGGAATTAAAGACCCAGAACCAGAATTTGATATAGAGCTATCTGTTTCTACTTGTGGTCAAACAAAATTACCTTCTATTGTTTCTATAGATAAAGAACAGTCAACAGGAGATTTTAAAGACGACAAAACAACTCAGCTAGACAAAGAGAAAAAAAGAACAAGTTCTTTAGACTTAACCACTCAGTTAGATTCTTCTTCCATTGTAAATAATATGTCAGATGAAAGTGGACTTGAAAAGTCAAAAAATTCAAACAGTGAGTTAAAAATAAGTTCTGACTCTGAAACAAATAGAATCCCTTCAAATGAAGTTAAGAGCACTTCTCCAACTCAAAAACAAGTGATAGAACAAAATTCAAGAGGTTCTCCTCTTTCAAAATCCCCAGACACTCACAGTACTAACCAAAGTAACAATAGTTTAAATTCTAATCACATTAACGGTCTATTATATTCACAATACTCTTCAACTCAATCAACAGCACGAACTGATAACTCTATTAGTTCAGTGCCTCAAAAAGATTTAAGTAAAGGAGGTGATGAAATTAAAGACTCTGACCAATTAATTGGTTCAGGAAAAGCCTCACATCAACTAACCCAAACTCTTGAACCTATCAAAGAGAATGATGAACAACCAATAACCAAAAAGAAATCATACGAACAAGGTGAGGGTACTGAGTCTAATGACCTTAATAAAAAAATTGAACAAGCAGATCAGTCAGACTATGAAAAACAAGAATTAACTCGCAAAAAACAGGAAGAAGAACAAAAGAGAATTGAGGATTTGCATGAGATAAAAAGACAACGACAAGCCACATTAGACATTGAAGGTAAACATCAACAAGGAGAAGTTAAAGTCATGAGCCAACCATTTGTATTAGACCGTGAACATCTTTTATCTGATAAAGCAAGTGGTTTGATGGATTATTATTATCAAAGACTAAAGTCCTGGATTGGTCTTGAAAAATATAAGATTATTTTGAATGAAAAAGTAACCAGTTTAACAAACGAACGAATTAACAGAACTGTATGTGGGCAAACAAACATTATGGTAATTATAATCACAACAGACTGCTATATCTTTGGATCGTATAATTCATTACAAATACCAAATGCTCCTCAAAAGAAATATAAATACCTTATGAATGATCCAGAATTCTTTATCTTTTCCTTAAAAGGATATAACTTATATGATAGCCCCAAAAAATTCATGAGAAAAAAACCAGGAAAAACTTCTTGTGTTTGGGCAAGTTCTCAGAATAAGGTTCTTTATTCAGTTAAACGATTTTATAAATTAAACAAAATGTCAGCTTCTTTATTCACTAAAAAAATTGCAATTGAATATAATGATGTTCCTGAAATGAAACATTTATATTTCACGGGATCTGTCAACTTTGCTATTGGCAGAATGATAATATCTCAATGGAATTAAATTGTTTACTGAGTTTTGTTATTAATTAAAGAATTCTTTTCTAACATTTAAGACTATTTTTCATATGAATAAACGAAATTTCTTTAACTTACCTCTATAGAATAATTTAGTTTATTATGGTAGTTTTACCAATTGAAATAACTTATTTTCATTGTGATTAAAAAGTTAAAATAGAAAAAATATTTAAATAAATTTTTTAAAGTACAACATTTGGTTGTTTTAAACTGATATGAGTTATCGCATTTGATGTATATTATTCCATGTAATTAATATTATTGTTTAAAATATAACTGTTTTTGAAATAATTTATTATTCCACATATTTATTCTTTTATTAAACGACTTTTATCAAACTTCTTCAACTGCTTTTTATATGTTAGTACATTCAATGTTTATCATGACTCGGAAAAAAAAACAATTATATAATGTAAAGTTCTGTAAAAAAATGAGTGTCACTGATATTGAACCGTTATTTATAGCATTGAGATAACACACTAATTATTTAAAAAAAAAAATAAAACAAGTTTAGTCATATTAATTACAACACCTAAGCCGTTACATAAAATGTTAACAAAGTGATAAAATTTTAATACATATCAGATTTCATAATTAATTGATTCCTTTGAAATTTATTAATGAACGTAATATTGAGATTATTAGCAATAATATGTTATTGCTTAAAATAAGAAATAATAGTTTGGAGGTATGTACATTAAGACTAAAATGAAGGAATATCAAAAACTAATATAACAAAAATCTAGAAATAGAAGTTATATACATTGGTGAAGGAATTGAAACACGGAAAGAATAATAAATCATTTTGCCAAAAAAAAACGTATAAAAGTATGAAAGTTTTAGAAAACGACATAATAATCACAACATAATATAATTTATGAATCCAAATTAAATAAACTTGATTTTGGTGATTTCTTTAACATTTTTAGATAATATTTTTTTGTATTTAAATTAATCAAGATTGAATCATTTCATTTCAATTACTATAATTCGTTTTGTTGTGAAATAATATTTTCCACAAAGTGAATTTCTTATTCTTTCATATTCATATGAACGTTGACCACAATATAATTATATTTTATTATATTCTTTATAAACATATCACCATTTCCATTATATCCATATCCAAATTCAAACAAACATTCACTTGTTTGATTCAATAAATAAAATGCATATTGTGATTCTTTAATATCAAATTTTATCATTCCTTTCATTCTTCCATTTGAATTTAATGAAAATAAAAAAATGGTTTTGAATCATTTATATCATCATTAACTTTATTGGTTTTAGAATTAACATATCCTCCAAATTTATTTCCTTCTGAATCTTCAATAATAATTATTATATGTTCTTTATTCTTTATTCTTTCTCCAAATACTGATGTATTAACATTCCAATTATCATTATCTGAATCAAATAGTATATTGAACATTCTTCTTTCTGTATATTCTTCTATTTGTAACATTTGACGTTTTGTATCTTCTTTTTCTTTTCTTCTTCTTCTCTCTTCTTTCTTTCTAAATGATCGCTATAATGCTTTTTCCTTTCTTCTTATTAAATTCTTCGGCGATTGTATCTGTTTCTTGTGGTGTTTTTATTATTTTGTTTTTCATTATCATTTCTTCAATTGAAATGATTTTATCTATTAATTCATTCCGTGTTTTACTTAGTGTTTCATCATCATTATTACATTCTTCTATGATTCTTGACATTTTATTCTTCATTATTTCTATTTTGTTGATTGTTTCTTGACTTTTCTCTATCACTAATTTTCTTCTTTTTTCTGTTTCATCAATCCTATCAAATATTCCTTCTCCTCTTTTAATTGCTTCTGAGTATGTTTCATTCTCTTTTAGTTCAAATACTTCATTTTTAATACTTCCTAAATAATATTGATAATTCTTAGTAGTATCATCAATTGATTGTTGAATGTTTGGAAGTATTTCTATTACTTCTTTAATTATTTGATTATTCTTGTTAATTAACTCTTCCATTTTAATTTAAATTGATGTTTATAAGTTCAAATTATGGATTGTTTAAATAGTTAAATACATGTCAATAACTCACATAGTTTTTCTTTATTATTTTCATTCAACAGTTTATTCATAAATTAAACGTCATTCATTTTATTGAATTTTAAATAATAAAATAATGATGATTCTTTGAAAAATATTTTAATCATATCACCATCATTTTATTACTTCGTTGTTTGTTAATGTTAATTCATAGTTTGTAATGAATTTAATTATTCCCCTTCATTATATCTAGTATCTTCTCTATTTCATCATTTCATTAACTAAGATATTGTTGTTTAATATCTTTAACTTTTTCAAATAGTTTAATTAATTGAACGTTCAGTGTTTATTGTAACGAAGAGTAATAATTATTATCTTTCAATACCCTGATAGTTAGTACTTTCTTTTAAGTAAGTTACGAAATATAATATTAAGATTAAAAATATCAGTGATTATTTTATACACCTTCGTTAGAAAACAATACAACAAATGCATTAGACTTTAATGGTTGTTTGTTTAATATCATTTTGTTAATGCCATAAGAAAAGAATATTAGAAGTAATGACAAAAAGTAGAGTTGAACAAGAATAACACAAAAAGTTATAATAAGACAAAACATATAATAAAATCCATCTCAAATGAAAAGGAGAAAGTAAAAATACAAGTATAGATAATCTGATAATTTGTATCTATAACTTAACAAATAATAAGTCTCATTCTTCACAACAAGGATATTTCTTATTCCATAAAATACATTGACCCAACATCACTTATTATAAACTCTTTTCAAAATTTTTATTCTATTAACACGTAAAAACATCTAATTATAAATTAAAATTGTAGAAGTAAGAAATTATTTTAAAGTTTTAGATTTGAATGAATTTATTCTAACATTTCATAAAAATATAAATAACAAAAATAATTTTAAAAGCAAATGCACTTAAAGCTTATCATAGAATTTATCTAAACCTGGAACACCTTCTGGAAGTCCTTTTCTCTTTCTAATAGCAGCAACAATTGATCCTACCTTTGATGTTGCATCAGTAACATCACCATTGAGTAATTGCCAGTGATCAAAGACACATTGTGGGAAGGCTTGTCCTGATGTATGTGATCTCAAATCGGCAGTAAATCCAAATGATTCACAGACTGGAAGATAAGCTCTAACATTGAATAATGGAGTACCTGGTCTTTGTTCTTCTGAAATAATCTTTCCTCTTCTTCTTGACATGACAGTGTAAATTCCTCCAATGGCTGATTCTGGGCATTGAATTTCGGCAAGATACATTGGTTCAAGAAGTGATGGAGCTCCTGTTAAGACACATGCGAAACAGCATCTTCTAGCACATGGAATCATTTGAGCTCCTCCTCTGTGGATAGCATCAGCATGTAATTTAACATCTTCTAAGTTAATTCTAACTCCTCTAATTTGTTCGTTACAAACTACTCCATCATGCATAGCATTGTTAAATCCATTAACAATGGAATCTTTAACTTCATTCAAATATTGAATACCTTTTGTAACATCAACAAACAAATTTGGTCCACAGTTATCTGGTCCGAAACACCAAATCTTTCTTGCTTCATCAACATCCCATCCATATTTCTCTGAAAGGAATTTAGCTCTTTCTTTAAAGTCTGTATCTGGTTTAATTTCTCCGGCTTCAATATCTTCAGCAAGTCCTTCAGCAAATGGGAAGGCTCTCATGAACAATCTGTTTTGATTGTTAGCTGATTTAGAAAGGCATTGAATTCTTGATGGTTCTGTAATAGTTTCTCTGAATGAGACAACTGGTTCAGTAACAATCAATGGAACTCCTGAACAATAATCTTCTTGAAGATCCTTAAGACAAACTTCAAGATGAAGTTCTCCAGCTCCAGCAACAATGTGTTCTCCTGATTCTTCGGTATAACATAAACAAAGTGGATCGGATCTTGATAATCTCTTCATACCTTCAACAAGTTTTGGAAGATCTGATGGATTCTTGGTTTCAACAGCGACTCTGACGACTGGTGAGACTGAGAATTTCATATCCTTAATAATATGTGCTGTATCAGAATCAGTAATAGTTCCTGATTTCAACAAATATTGATCTACTCCAACAAGTCCAATGACATTACCACATGGACATTCATCAATTGGATCAGTATATCTACCCATCATTAACATAGTTCTTTGAATGTTCTTAATAACACAATCATCTTTTTTACCTGGAACATAATTTGGTCCACAAATTCTAGCTTTTCCTCCTGTTCTAATTGTTCCTGAGAAAACTCTTCCAAAGGCATAGAATCTTCCTTTATCATTGGTTGGAATCATTTTAGAAACATACATCATTAATGGTCCTTTTTCATCACAATTAGCCATAGCTTTAGCTGCTTCATCGTCCATAGGTCCTGTGTAAAGATTTGATGTTCTGTATTTTTGTGCAACAACTGGTGATGGAAGATGGAGAACAATCATTTCAAGTAATGTAACACCAGCTGGTAACCATAATTTCATAACTGTCTTAAGAAGTTCTTTTCCTTCTTTTTCTTTATCATCAGCTGATAATTTGATTTGTAAGTTAGTTAACATCTTTTCATAATCAGCTTTTCTTCCTTCCATAATAGCATTGAATAATTTAGTAATTGGGTCAAAACAGAATTGAACAAATCCTCTTTGAAGAACTTCTCCATGATCTCCTTTTCCGTTCTTCTTCCATTTCTTAGCTTTAGCATCCCAATAATTGTCACCCCAAAGTTTTTCTAACATTCTCTTTCTATCAATTCCAAATTTGGCTGACCACATCTTAGCAAACTTTTCAAGTGTAAATGCCCATCCGTGAAGTCCTGATCCAAATGCAACTGTTCCTTCTCCTGGTGAAACTTGAACATCTCCAAGAAGTTCATCTTTGTAGGTTGAAATAAGAACATTAACGTTTTCAATTGATCTACAGAATGATTGATATGCTTCTTCTGGTTCTTCTTT